TGTTGTTTGGCGGGTCCGGGCTGGGGATTTGAACCCGCCACCTTAGGTGTACGTGGCTGGCGCCTTAGCCGGTTGAGCTATAGGCGCCGAGCCGGAGCAGATCTCTTAGCGGGTGAGGAGCAACACAGATAAAGGAACAGGAAAGGTCAGACTGGGAGTTTCTGTGGAGGAAACTGAAGAGGTGGGCAGAGGGTGGCATGGGGGCCAGGCAGGCCTCTCTCTGGAGGCAGCGTTTGTGCTGAGACCTGAGGGACATGAAGGAACCAGCTGTGCTAAGAGCATAATCACTCCAAACAGGTCCTGCTGCCACCACCAGGACTGGTAAAAATACCCGATAAGGGTATTTTTTTTGAGAGACAAAGTCTCACTTTGTCACCCTCGGTAGAGTGCTGTGGCATCACAGCTCACAGCAACCTCCAGCTCTTGGGCTTAGGTGATTCTCTTGCCTTAGCCTCCCAAGTAGCTGGTACCACAGAGGCCCACCACAACACCCAGCTATTTTTTGTTGCAGTTTGGCCGGAGCCAGGTTTGAACCCTCCTCCCTTAGTATATGGGGCTGGTGCCCTACTCACTGAGCCATAGCCACTGCCCCCTCGCTAAGGGTATTTTTGGGCAGCCTGCTTTGTGGCCCTGTAGCTGGCTCACTAGAGAATTAGAGGACCAGACCAGGACTGACCTGGGACAAGTGGGTTTATGAGGAACAGTTGGGAGTGGGCTCTTGGCTGTCTGAAGCCTCAGAGGAATTGAGTGTTTTCCCCCACTGAGGCTGCAGAAGCTGGACAAGGCTGGGGAGGCCCCATAGCCCTGCACCAGAGCCTGCCCTGTGTCAAACACTATTGTGAAAATGGGTGGCATGCAGTGACCCATCCCTGGCCACACAGGCTCTCGATTCTTGTTTTGACCCTTGGCTTTTTCTTAAGTCCTCAAACCACTCCGCCTTGCTCCACTATCAGGAACTCAGGGCCTGAAACAGTGTCTCTCTTGTCTCCATTTCCCCAGGAGACAGGCTCAAATGCAGCTAAATGATCAAGGATGGGGATAGGGGACGAGACCAATAGGGCCTGGTTCAGCCTTTGCCCCTTCTCCATACCCATACCCTCAGTGTGTGCAGTGGGGGTGGAGATCTCAGCACTCTGGGAGGCCAACATGGGAAAATACCTTGAGGTCAGAAGTTCAAGACCAGCCTGAGCAAGAATAAGACCCTGTCTTGACTAAAAATACAAACAGCAGTGGGTGTGGTGGTAGGCACCTGTAATCCCAACTACTTGGGAGGCTGAGGCAGGAGGATCCTTGAACTTAGGAATATGAGGCTGACGCCACGGCACACCAGTCTGGGCCACTGAGTGAGACTTTTGATGCCCCCAAAAAGAAAGCCTGGGGTGGACAGTGGCCATGTAACCAGGACTGTGCCTGAGCCCATCTATACCTCAGTTACTCACCACGTCTCTCAGGTGGCTGGGCTGATGCTGTACCTTGAGTGTTCCAGGGTTATGGTGGTCATCAGGACCCCCAAGGAGACGGCTGTGGAAGCCAAGAGGGGACAGATCCTGAAAGGACACTGCAGGCAGAGCCCTCTGCCTGGAGCCCTGTCCAGCAGGGAGCGGAGGGGCATCCGGGGCCCCCAGGCCATGCCAGACAGAGCTTGGCTTTGTTCCTCTGCAGATGCAGCTTCGGTTCTGCCGCAGATGCTCTTTTTAGAAGGATGAGTTCTTAAGTCCCAGAAGCAGGAAGAGGCACTCTATGACTAGTATTTATAGAAAATCCTTCACAAAACAAAACCAAATAAAGCGAGCTAGCTAGCAAGAAGGCAAGACCGCTGCCCTGGTGACCTAAGCACTGGGTGGCCACAGAACCACTCATGCCAAGACCCTGGACTCTTGCTCAGATGGGGGTGGGCAGCACAACAGCCCTGCCACCGCCCACAGCTGGTGGACATGGCTTGCGGCAGGCAAAGCTGTGTCACCTCATTCAGATGGGCATGACCTAGGTGGGCGGGGAGCAGGGGTGAGGCATGCTTTCCCCTGTGCTGTGAGGGCAACAGCATGGAATGCAGCGCAGTGGCCTGGAGTCAGCCCTGACACCTAGCACCCTGCTACCTATAGCTCTCCAACCTCTAGGGCAGTGAGCAGAGAGGCACCCATCACCCAGGCTGTGAGTAACAGAAGACAGAAGCAACACCATCATCAACACTTCGTGTAATACCACCATTTATTCCTTCTCTATTGCATTAAGAAAGTGGTTCTGTTTCCACAGATGAAACAGCATTATACAGATACTCTTGGAAGAGAATTCCCTTACTTACCAAGCCTCTGTGACTAACTTTAAATCCACTCACCTGCAGGACAGATACGGTCTCAGAGCAAAGGGGGCATCAAGGCATGCTGTGGCATTCCCACCTCACCCTGGCATTGCACTGGGCTGCAGGGAAGTGGATTCCTGGGCCACAGAGCCAGCAGGGGGTTTGGGATAGGCCTTTAACTTTCCAGAGACTGCACACACTGGGGGCTGCACAGCAGCACCAGCCAGTCCCTGGTGAGCTCCATCTAGGGCCTCCTGGGGGAGGGAGGCCAGGAGGGGCAGCAGAATCCAGTGAGGCCCTGGATACTGCCGAAATGGACACAGGTTTGTGCAAGGTGCAAGACTCTGGGCTGCTCCCTCCTCTGAATATAGGAGAGGCAATCCCAACCCACAGCCCTGGTGGCACCACAGTCCCTGAAGGCAGACAACATGTGTGAAATATTCTAACTCAGGCCTTCGCCCAGCCTGACCCTTCCCTGTGTGTTGGCAGAAATAGTGCCCATCCCTAAAGCTTTTGGCCTCCCAGAGCACTGGGTCTCAGCGAATTTCTTCTCTCTTGGAGCCACTTTCCATTCTTCTTTCAAGGGAGGCTCCAGCAGCCAGCAGAGGCTTGTCAGCTGTGGAAAAGACCGTCCACCTCAGTGGCTCCCCTGTTGCTGGTCCTCCCCAGCACCAGCATGGGAATCTTCAGGCAGGAGCCAGCTTACCCTGACTCAGGGCCTAACAAGAGCAGCCACTGCTGCAGCTCAGACAGGGCATGCCCACCCCTGGGGAAACCCAGGCACCCTGCCCACTCTCCTTTGGCAGCTCCAGGACCAAGGCTTCTCTTACACCAGCTCTCTTGGTCTTCCTGGGCCCTCACTGCTGACAACTAGGGCAGGTCCAGGAATAGGGCCCAGGGACAAGTGTGGACACCAACCTGGGTTTCCACTCGGGATCTAGAAGCACAGGCTCAGAGGCTGGAGGAAGGAAACCACCACCTAGAGGCAAGGGGCACTTGCAGCAGCCATGGGCTATTCCAGAGGAGGTAGTGGTGGGAGGCCTTGAGAGCAGTGTCTGCTGGGCTCATGGCATTTGGGGTTCACGGCACCACTTCTTCCCATTCTGCCACACACTGCAGAAAGAGCCCTTTGTGGGGGCCTGCAGGCTGGCCAGAGCTCCTCGCTTGGGTCCCCTGTTCTCAGAAACTATGATGGTCCTCACTGAGGCTGCTGGGAGGGAGTGGCTCCTGTGCAGTGACAAGGTGCAGAACTTGGCTCCAGTCTGCGTTCCCACTCTCTATAGCCCCATGAGCTGTGGGATAGTCAGATGCAGGCTGGGGACAGGGTACCCACTGGCCACTGTGGCATAGGCAAATGTCAAGAAGAGGCTAACCCCTGTCTTGCCCCAGCACTGGACCCCTCATCCCCATGCCAGGCACTGCCTGGGCTGCACTTCCTGGCTGTGTTATGATGCCGTCATCATGCTCTGCTCGCCATGGTCCACACTCCAGAGGCGATAAAATTCAGCAAAGTCCACATAGGGCTCAACTCGGCCGTCCTCACCAGGTGGGAGAGAGTGGGCAGGCCGGGAGCGGAAGAGGCCTCCATCAGAGCTAGAGCTGCTGCTTTGGGTGTGCGTGTTGGTGGACTGCAGGGTCAGGGTTGGGCTCTGGCTGTGGGATGACAGGAGGAGGTCAGTCAGGGGCAGCTAGGTCAAAGGGGCTTTGGCTCCCACGTGGGGACAGCCCTGCCTCTACTAGCCCCTTGGACAGCAGACCTTTCTGGGAAAGACAACCATAAGAGCTGGACTGTGGCTGGACACTGTGGATAATCCTAGCACTTTGGAAGGTTGAGGTGGGTGGACAGCCTGAGCTCAGGAGTTTGAGACCAGCTTGAGCAAAAGGAAGACCCCATCTCTACTAAAAATAAAAAAGCTAGCTAGGCATAGTGGCAGGCATCTGTAGTCCCAGGTACTTGGGAAGCTAAGACAGGAGGATCACTAGAGCCTAGGAGATTGAAGTTGCTGTGAGCTATCATGCCATAGCATTCTAGCCTGGGCAACTGATTAGCTGGGCAGCAGCTCCAGCTCTGTCTCAAAAAAAAAGATAAATGCATTTTTAAAACACTAGCTGCATGTGGCTGCTTAAGTTAAATAAAATAGAAAAAATAGAACACTTGGTTCAAATGCTTAACAGCCACAGGTGGTCAGTGGCTACTGTGTGGACAGTGCAGACATGGAACATTCTGTGGCCAGAGGAAGGTGTGCTGGGCGTCAAGCCACCAAGCATTCATTCCAGTCTCTCCCAGCCTGTCCTGACCCACACTGCAGTCATCACAGGTCAGCAGGATATTTTCTCTCAGGAAGAAAGATTACCCCCTCAGGCCAGTGGGGACAGGCCCCAGCAAGCTGTCACAGAACACAGAGTGGAACAGCCAGGAACTGCCTGTTAGTGCTGCCCAGCACCAGCCCTGGCCAGCTCATGGCAGGGCCACACTGTTGACTGCTCAGATGCCAGAGGGAGGGAAGAGGCTGACGGGGGCAGGGGTTACAGGGAGAGGACAAGGAACTTGTCTGGGGCCACAACGGTCACATTCTGCTTTGTGGACACAGCTGGAGGCTTCCTTTGGGCAGCCTGGCAGGGTGGTGGAGAGGCCACCACCCCCTCCTGCCCCCAAGATGCCCACTGAGCTTGCTTGGCTGCCTGGCAGGCCCTTCCAGGCCATGGGCCGCTGCGTTGTTAGCAGCAACAATACAAGGGCAGGGAGAGAGGAAGGCCACTGGAAAAGCAGAGGCAAACAGGGCCACTCCTCCCCAGGGTCCTTCTAATTAGCCACATCCTGCTCAGCTCCATCCTCACCGTCCTAGTGTGGGCTGGGTGTGGCATCTCTATTATTCCATGCAAGGCTGGAATGTGGAAACCAGATCCTGGTCCCCTGGTGTGGGGGGTGGGGGCTGTGCATTCCACAGAAGTGAAGGGGTGGGTGAGACTCCAGACCTGTCAGGCAGGTCTGTAGGGGGGAGTTCTGCCCACACCCCTCAAGCTATGCCCCATCTCTCCCCTACCCCTACCCAGGCCTTAAACTCACTTCAAAACTAAAATAAAATATTCTAGTCAGAGAGCATAGGACAAGACAGTACAGGCCAAACATTATGTCCCCCAAGCACAGATATCACAGGAAGGTCACCCTACATCACACACTCCCAATGGGAGAAAAGAACAAGAGGAACTTCCCATTGAATAAAAACTAGCTATGGGGCCTATGAGTAAATAGAAACAGTAGGTTGTCACCATCATCTGCCTGTCTAGACACCCCACTTATCCCCACCCTGTCCCCAAGCCTCTAGCCCATCCCAGGCCCAGATGTAACAGCTTCAGAATCAATAGGGCTGAGCCTTCCTGCCTCTGCTTTTAGGGAGGCCACCCTCACTGAAATGGAGTTGGGGGATCGGGAGACACACACCCCAGGGCATCTCCCCCATGATTATTCAGGACTTGGCTCCATGGCCATTTCTGTTCAGGTACCCCAGGGCTGATCCCAGGACACAACATGGGGTGAGAGTGGAGTGGAGACTTACTTGGTGAGGGTAGGGGTGGCTTCATCCAAGGTGGGGGCACTGGGAGCCCCATTAACCATCTGGCTCTGGGAGGGCATGACGAGAGAGAGGGTCACACTGGTCTTGCTGGTGCTCTGGGCGCTTGAGTAAGGCACGGACACGGGGTAGACACGTCCCCCTGCGGTTTGGGGAGGAAGACAGCAGTGGGCACAGGCAGTGGCTGAGAGAGGAAGCCGAGCTACCAGGAGCACAGCTGCTTCAGTCCGGACAGGGGTGGTGTCTGAGGGCTGAGAACATGGGTAGTGATCATGCCTATCCCTGCAGGGGTCCCTAAAGCTCTAGTGTGACCCCTTGTCCCTTCAGACAGCTCAAGAGGAGTGATCCTTGGCAGAGATTCTACCAGCCAAGCCAAGACCCCCTTTCAGCAGGAAAGCCTACTATTGCCCAGAACAGGAACAGAATCAGTGCTCAAGTCACCTCAATGAAAGGGTTACTGCCCAGCTTCCCACGGATGCTTTAATCCAGAGGATAAGTTTGCTCCTAGTTGAGGTTGACCCAACAAAAATATGGTTGCAGTAACAACAGGCCAGAGAAACTCCAGTAACCCCGGTGTCCATGGGAGAACAAACCCATCTGGGGATGCTTGGGCTCTAAGGTTTGCTTGTTTAAAAAGGAAAAGGAAAAGAACAGCAGCCTCAGGAACTGAAGGTCCTAACACTGAGCAGCTCTGGAGGGAGCACAACAAAGAATAGTCACCATTTTTACCAAGCAACTTGGTTTAAGAATTAAAACAGCAGAAAATCTGTGTGTGAGTTGTACAGTGAACAAAAAATAAAAAGTAGAAAGTAAAGTATTGGCTCAGAGCCTGTAGCTCAGTGGTTAGGCAGCGGCCACACAGACTGGGGCTGGTGGGTTCGAACCTGGCCCAGGCCTGCTAAACAACAATGACAACTGTAACAAAAAAATAGCCGGGCATTGTGGCGGGTGCCTGTAGTCTCTGCTACTTGGGAGGCTGAGGCAAGAGAATCGCTTAAGCCCGAGAGTTTGAGGTTGCTGTGACCTCTGACACCATAGCACTCTACCAAGGGTGACATCTGTCTGGGGCGGGGGGGAGACAGAGGGCGGTGCCTGTGCCTCAAAGGAGTAGGGCGCCAGCCCCTTATGCCGGAGGTGGTGAGTTCAAACCCAGCCCCCAGCCAAAAACTGCCCAAAAGAAAGAAAGAAAGAAAGAAAAGTATCACCCCCTACTCCCCAACTGTGTCCAAAGGCAGAACCAGGCTTTGGGCCCGACCATCTGTTCACATGCCCAACTTCAGCTAGGCCTCTTGTTTCTTGATTCTCAGTTTCCTCTTCTGGAAAAGGGGGTGCCGCCTGTCTTGGGGTTGCTAATGAGGACTAGAGAAAATAACACAGCTAATGCACCTGGCACATAGTAGGCTCCCAACTGGTGGCCTTGTGGCTCTGCAAATTGCTTGCTTATGCATTCAGGTCTTTAAAAGGAAAACGAGATAGGTAGTTTTATCCTCACTTTACAGACAAAAGGCAAAGATCAATACCCAGATCAGAAAGGTTGAAAGTTAGAGTGCCTGGATTATAAGCACTCAAAGCCAGGCCTCCGGCTCTACCTCCATGCCAGGCAGCAAGGCCACTACCTCAGCCACTCTGCACCCAGCTGCAGCCCCCGATGGCATCCTTAGGCTCTGCCTGTCTGCACGGCACACCTACCTGGGGCTGGGGTTGGTGTGGGCTGGCTCATTTCACCCAGTGGGTAGCCAAAGTTCCTCACCAGCAGGGTCATGTCTTCATGCCGTGGGCAGAACTTGGCACGCTCCCCACCACTGGCAAAGGTGTCTCCATGGATGCGCCTCACCCGGTCGACCACAGCCTGGGCCACTGCATCCAGGGAGGTCTGCTTGGCAAACTCTGTGTCAATCATGGCAGCGATCTCCTGAGGAAAGGAGAATAAGAACCTGGTGAGGAACAAGGGGTAGCCTGGGACTCTGGCCCCAGAGCCCTCAATCAGGAGACTCAAGGATCACTGGCCTAGGAGGTGGAAGAGGAAGTCCCAGCCAGCCAAACTTGAAATCTGAGTTTTTCAAGGTATTCAGGATAATCTTTCTAGAAATTTTTCATTAGAAAAGATGTAACATCTTGCAATCTCTCCAATTATTGGCTTTGAAAATGGGGATATCATCCACTTCGCTTAGTTACTATGGGGATTAAACAGCATAATGGATGTCTGAGCACTCTGGGACCACACTGGCATTATTAGGTTTTACTATCGTAGGCTATAATATGTCAGGCATTTTAGAAGGAATTCATTCTGGGGGTACAGGATGAAGACATGGTCCTTGCTCTCAGAGCAGTCATTGTCTAGGGTAAAGATGTTCCTTGACTTAGGATGGGGCTATATCTTAATAAACCCATCATAAGTTGCAAACAACTTAAGTTGAAAGTGCATTTAATACACCTCGGCCACTGAACACCACAGCTCAGCCTAGCCTATACTCAGAACATGGATGTTAGCTCATAGTGGCTCACGACTAACACAACTGACACAAAACCTATTTTATAATGAAGTACTGAATATCTCATGTAGTGTGCTGAATATAGGACCATAAGTAAAAAACAGAATGGGTTTTTGTGCCTCAGGTTGATGGGCACTTAAAGTACGGTCTCTACTGAATGCACACCACTTTCACACCATCACAAAGTTGAAAAATCCTAAGTTGAACCATTATAAGTTAGGGACTATCTGTGTTCTAGAACTTAGTAGAAGCCACTGGATAATTCTACCATGAAGATCAAAAGAGAAAAAAAAAAATCACACTGACAAAAATCTCAGACCATCCTCTGAGTCTACATGATGGTTGGTCTAGTCTCTTAGAGGAAGGAGGCCAGGTGCAGCTGAGAGAAAATGACCTGGATGTGGGGAAGGGGCTCAGGTCTATCACTAACCAACTATGTCACCTCTGAACCCCAAAGGCCCCGAGATCCCAACCTACATGGGAATAAGCTCCTGAACCCCCTGTGTTAAGTGTTACAAGGCTGCTAGAAGGGATGATAAAATAAACACGTGAAAAACCCAACATGGGATCAGGGCATAGGTAAGCACTTAGAACTTTTTCTTCATGGTTTTTCATTTAAAAGGACAAAAGAGAAAAGGTTATCTTCCTCTAAGAAGCACAGGCAGAAGAAAGAACATAATCTGAACTTATCTTAGCAACCTTGCAATCCAAGGTTAGATAAAGGCAGCTTCCCTACTCAAAACCATCCCTACAGTGACTGTCCCCAGGTCACACTTTGGTGACAATTGCCTGCTGTGTATACTCTCAGGTGTAGGAAAAATAAGCAACTCTCACAGGCTGAGGACCTATGTTTAGCACACCTGACCCTACCACACTCCCACCAAGGTAGATGTCACCATCACCACTGTGGAGTCAGGACGGTACCACTTGTCATCTGACACTCAGTGTGGTACACACACTCTGACACTCTGGAGCAAAGCCCCAGGCAAGAAGTGATGGAGTACAGGACTAGCCCCTGGCAGTGCTCTCTGCAGCAGGCCACACCCTTTTCTGGGCTTTCCTCCTGGGCCAGGCCCCTTCCTGGGGGTCCCAGAGCAATAGTGTGCCCATGGAAACCTTCTTCCCTGTAGGCCTTGCTTAGACCCTGGGGATGACATTGCTTCAAGTCTAGAATGAGCAAAGCTTTAGGCTAATTGGGTGTTTTCAGAACTCTGGGCTTTTCCTTCTTTCAGAGTTATTTTTGGTAGAGATGGGGCCTCACTGTATTGCCCAGGCTTGTCTCAAATTCTTAGCCTCCTGCCTTGGCCTCCCAAAGAGTGGGATTACAGAAGTGAGCCACCCCACTTAGCTTTGAACCCAGAGATAGAATTTAGGAATCAGAGCTCTGGGTGGCCTGCAGGTCAGCCATGCTTTGCAGCCCCTGGCTCACCTAGGCCCAGCTCACCTGGTTGGCCTGCCCAGGCCCGTGGGCTGCTTCCAGGGCTTTGTACAGCCCTTCAGACATCAGCACCAGGAAGCCAGTAACCCCATCCAGTGGTTGTGCACCGTGGATTTCTGGCTCTGCAATGATTGGTTTGGACTTGGCAGCACTATGAGGAGAGATTGAAGGGAAGAGCTTTGTTGGGAATGGCCCCAGGTGGATGCTGATTCTATTGAGGGGAAGAATCTATACCCAGAATATAAAATATAATACACAACCTGACAGGAGGAAAAGAAATAGAAGAAAAAGAAAATCAGAAAACATACCCAACTTCTTATAATACCTACTAAAATAAAGCTGAGACGAGCCAGAAAAATTGGCAGGTGACTAAGGTCATGAAAGCCTGATTCTGGCTTGGTGCCTGTGGCTCAAGTGGCTAAGGTGCCAGCCATATACACCTAAGGTGGCGGGTTTGAATCCAGCCCAGGCCTGCCAAACAACAATGATGGCTGCAACCAAAAAATAGCTGAGCGTTGCAGCGGGTGCCTGTGATCCTAGCTACTTGGGAGGCGGAGGCAGGAGACTTGCTTGAGCCCAGGAGTTGGAGGTTGCTGTGAGCTGTGATGCCATAGCACTCTACCCAGGGGGGACAGCTTGAGGCTCTGTCTCAAAAAAAAAGAAAGAAAGAAAGCCTGATTCTGGTGGTTTTGTATCTCTTATCCACAGATCCTGGGTGATGGTGGCAAGGTAGGGCATGGGCCAACAGGAGAGAGAGGTTACCTTTTACACTCGATCTTAGCCAAAAGGCCGAGAAGCGATGAGGGAGAGGTTATCTTTTAAAAGACCACTTCTCTTGCTATCACTTGGGCTCCTCTGAGACAGGTGTCCAAGCCAACTAAGACCCCAAATATACTCTACATGCACAGGGATCATTTTCTACTGATATGGTATCAGAGTCATAAATGTCAAAAAGATCCAATATGTGTAAGAGTAAAGTCTGGAAACATCAGTAGTAGCTGGAATCCTACCGGCAGTTAAAAAGAATGATGTCGCCTGATAGAAGGTAGGCAGGAATGGAAGGATAAAAGCATCTTTTGTTTTTTTATCTTTTTTTTAGAGACAGGGCCTCAACTCTTGTCGTCCAGGCTAGAGTGCAATAGCATGATCATAGCTCACTTCAGCCTTGAACTTCTGGGCTCAAGCACTCCTCCTGTCTCACCCTCCCTAGTGCCTAGGACTATAGGTGCTCGCTACCACACAAAGCTAATTTCTAAAAGATTTTTAGAGATAGGGTCTGGCTCTGTTGCTCAGGCTGGTCTTGAACTCCTGCCTTCGAGCAATGCTTTCATCACAGCCTTTCAAAATGCTGGGATTACAGGCATAATCTACCAAACCCAGCCAGGGATGGGCGCCAACAACAGCAAGGTGCCTATGAACTTACCCCAATTCATCAAGTCGTATGTATTAAATATGTGTGCAGTTTTTGTCAGTCATACCTTGAGGCTTTTTTTTTTTGAGACAGAGTCTCGCTTTGTCAGTCTCGGTAGAGTGCAATGGCATCACAGCACACAGCAATCTCCAACTCTTAGGCTCAAGTGATTCTCTTGTCTCAGCCTCCCAAGTAGCTGGGACTACAGGTGCCCGCCACAACGCCCAGCCATTTTTAGAGATGGGGTCTCGCTCTTGGTCAGGCTGGTCTCAAACCTGTAAGCTCAGCAATCTACCGCCCTGGCCTCCCAGAGGGCTGGATTATAGGTGTGAGCCACCACACTGGGCCACCTCAAGATTTTTTTTTAAAAAGAAAATAACCCTTACTTCACATGTCAACAGAGGGTAGGGAAGAAAACAAAAGAGGGAGGGGCAGGACATGGGCACGGTGTGGGGGATCTGTGGGTGTCCTGAGGGTGCTCATACCTCTGCCCTGGCCCCAGCCATGGACAACACTGACCAACAGGCCTCTGGTCTGCTGGTCTTTGTCCATGCCAGGCACTTCATGCCAATTCTGGATTCTCTTGTCAGGCCCTGTGGCACTGGCTGCTACCCTTGGCTTTCCCCAGGGCCCCAACCTGACCCTTGCCAGCCTGGCTTGACAGGACCCCAATTCCTGGCCTGCTAGGTCCAGGGCCTGCCCCATACCAACCTCTCTGGGAGGAAGAGTCTCTTTCGGCTCTGAACTCCTTCAACACCACCTCTGCCCTGGAGCCTAAAATCTGCTTCTGCCCCAGGCCTCTGGTCTTACAAACGATGGGGCGTGGGGGGCAGCTGGCACCTACCTGAGCAGGTCAATGTCCGTGTAGCCATATTTGACCTTATAGTCCCCAATGCGCCTGGTGCTCTCCTGCCCACAGATGATCCCTATTTGCTTGATCTTTCCTGTGTCCAAACCTGTCAGAGGAGGAAGGAACAATCCCATTTCTTATTTACAAAGAACAAAAGGAAGGGGACAGGGAGATGTTTGTGAAAGTCAGGCAATGAAGACCTACTGAAGAGGATGTGAAGACAACACCGGGGCACCTGAAGAGCAGCGTACCCAGTCCCCATCCCCATCAGAACACCACCCCCTGCCCAGAGCTCTTGGTGGGCACTCTAGCAGTGCCCAGCACCACCCTTGGTCTGCCGAGCACTGAGCAGCAAGCTGCCCTCTGCTCTATGGGCCCCTTAAAGGGAGGGAGTGGCTACTGTGGCAGCTGGAATTAAAGGACTTTTTGGGCCTTTCTTAGCCTCCACCAGTAATAATGAGTCCTGACTATGTGCCAAGTACTTTAGGAAGCATTTTACAGGAATCAACTCTTTGGGGCCTCACCACCTTGAGTTATTAGTATCCACCTTATACGGATGAAGAAACTGAGGCACAAAAAACTTCAGTAAGTTCCGGTCACCAAGTAGCAAGCAACAGAGCCCGGATCCAACCCAGACAGGCTAGTTCCAGAGCCCAAGATCACAGTCCCTCTGCTACAAGACCCTGTCTACCTAGCCAACAAAAGCCTAGGGAAAGCCCACAGGGGTCAGGCCCTGCTCCCAGTGACCCCTCCCAACCTCGCATTCTCCCCACTCACCTAGCTGTGAAAGGCGGAAGAGTTCATCCTCATTCTCTGTGGTGTGGTCCACATTTAGCTGTGTTACCTGCAGCCCATCCACTGTGGATTTGCATAAGAGAGCACGGTTCGTACCTGCAGCAGAATTTGAGCAGCTAAGCAAAGACCAAGCACAAGGAAAAATAGGACACAGTGAAAAGACAGAGAGAAAAGGCAGGCATCTCACACAAAGAAAGATGTCAAAAAAGCAAAACAGGCTTAGAACACTGAGGAGAGTTACCATATTAAGGCATTAGGTTAAACTTTTATAGCGTAATCATAGGATTATGATTTTAATAAAAAATACCTTTTCTCTAGAGGTATATACTGAAATACTTACAGATAACATGACAATATCTGGGTTTGCTTCAAAATAACGTGGGGACAAAGGGCTACAGATGAAGCAAGATTGGCTATGAGGTGAGCAAAGTTCATTAAATAATACTCCATTATTTTGTATTTTAGAAGTTTTCCCACACTGAAACTAAGGAAAAGAGCAAGAGTGGGAGGGACCTCACGGTGGGGCCACTACAGACTTCCTGTAGGAACCCTCACCCTGTAGCTTTCTCTGCCTCCTGTCCTTTGCCTGAAAATCCCGATGTTCCTGTCACCCACCCCAATCCTGCAGCTGTTTATGGGAATGCTGACTGGGTCTTCCACAGCCAGTGAGGCCACTCAGAGAAGGGATGTGACTCTCAGGGCCACAGGCAGTGAGAGGCCTCACATGAAACTCCTTTCTCCCTCCCAGCCGTGGCTGAGGCACTTCTGTGGAATGAGGAAACATACCCCAGCAGCCTCAGAGGCTCTGGGTGCATCTAGGTGTCTGTCTGGAAAGCACATGGCCAAATGACGCAATGGCCTCGAAGCTGACCTCCTCTCCCCCTAGACTCCCCACAACAGAAGGGCAGCTCACCAACATTGGCGACGTAGAGCTTGTTGTTGAGAAGGACCGCCACAACAGCCATGGCCCCGCCTGAAATCTCCCTCTCCAACGCCTTAAGTCTCTCAAGGATCTTCTGATACTGAGGTAACAACTGGTGCTGAGGGACACCCTAGAACCCATCATCATAAGTCAGAGCAGCATGGGGCCTCAGGACCATCTCACACCCCCCACGAGCAAGGCTGAGCCTGTGCTGCAGCTGCAGCTCCAGGTCAGGGCTCCTCCAGGAACAGGAGACAACCTAACTCAGAGAACGAGAACTCAGAGGCTGGCTCTGCAAGGGCTGGGGAGGTGATGTGAGCAGGTGAGTGAGCAGCCTGTGGACCAATTCAAGTCACAGGTTCTGGAAAGGTCTTTCTTCATGCCTGTCACTGTCCTCCCAGTGCTGCGCCTCAGGGTGAAGCTGTGCACAGAGGGCTAGGGAGGCCCCTCGAGGGGAAATACATTGCCACTCTCCAACATCCCCCATAACTCCTGCTGCTCTAGCCTAATTATGTCAATGGCCTGAAAGTGACAAGGCAGCAAGAGCAAAAGCAGGCCTTGACTTGCTTCTCCTGGGATGTGGACTGGGGTGTCACCTCTGGCAGCTGGGACTGGAGGCTCGCCTTCTCAGCCAGGGCATCATCAATGGACTCCAGGAAGCTCCTCTCCACCACATCGAAAGCCTAGGGGGCAGGGGACAGGGCAAAGGCTTGATCAAAACACCAATGTCACCTGCTGCAAAAATGCTATTAATAGGACAGCAATGAATTCAGTGTATTTGCTGCAGGTCCTCCTGTGATGGGGGCTTTACACACAGCACTTCTGCCTCTCACCCGGCACTACAAAGCACCTGCTTCTTCCTGCAGACCAAGGTCTTTGATAAAACCCTCAGCCAGGGGCACACTGCACAGATGGCATGCAGAGGGATCAGAGGCAGAAGACCACCCAGAGGCCACAAGCACAAGAACAGACCACCTGATGTCAACCCCACCTCTGCCACCTCAGCTTCCTTATCTATGGGATGGAGGTAAGTATTGGTCTGAGGGAAAAGGCAATCCATCCTCTGCACAGTACCCTGCTAAGAGAAACTGCCAGATCAATGACAGCTCTTATGATAACTACTTCTTCCAGGGAGGCTGCTGTCAAATCCTAATGGCCTCTGGACACTGGTGACACCGACACCTTACCCTAGTGTGGGATCTGCTGAGAATCACTGGCATGGTAGCACAGAGGCCTATTGCCTGCCCCCAGGGCCTAGACCAAGGAAGGGCAACCCCTGGCTCTGGAAGCTGCTCCCAGAGCTACTCCTCTGAAGGGGTGAAGAAGCCAGCAGGAGAGAAGAAGCCAATAGGGTCTTCAGATCACCCTTGGCAACACTGAATAGTTGCAGGGACCAAGTTCCAGGAGAATGGGGGTGGAGGACACAATTTGGCCAGGTCCCTGTCATCTGCAGCACCGTTACCTGCAGCAGCACACGCCGCACATCAGCCTCAGTGTGCTCAGTGTTGAGCTGGCCCAGCAGAAGCTCTGCAGAGAGACGCTGGGCCACAAAGTTGGTCACCCGGTTGCCATCGTAGCCGTTGAAGACCCCATACAGAAAGCAGTTATTCTCACTCCTGGCAGATAGAAAGGGCAGGAGACCTAAGACAGAGGCTCAAAGAGGTGGAAGGAGAGGAGGTAGGGAGACTGCAGATTCAGCAACTGTGACTTTATGTGCCCACCTGGTCACCCTGCTTCACTCTACAATCTTCTGGATGCCTCCCATCCTCCCACTATAGTGGACCCTAACTGGTCTGAAGTTTAGCTGTGGAAGAGACAGCAGTGAGGCCATCTCCCGCAGGTCACATCTCATCCCCATACAAGACAGCAGCAAAATGAGTGCCTTTCCTTGCTTGCAAACCAACTTCCTATGCCCAGGAGAGTGATGCTGGGATGCGCACCTGAACTTGAGCCAGTTGTCCTCTGGCGGGTGGGTCTCGGTGCCCTTGCCATCAGCAGAGTAGCTACGGTTGGAGGCTGAGCCAACTCCAGAGAGGTGGCAGAGCGGCAGGTCATCTGTCCAGCTTGGCTGCTGCTCCTGGGGGAAGGATACCAGAGACCATCAGGCACCACCTCTTCCCAAGGGCAAACCCCACCTCACCTCCTTCTTCAACAAAAACCTAGGAGACCTGGAACCCCACAGAGGGTTTCATTTCCTTCTAGAAAAAAATGATGCTTGTATGAAGGGACACCTGCAGAGGGCTTGCTGGGTTTTTTTTGTTGTTTTGAGACAGAGTCTCAAGCTATTGCCCTTGGTAGAGTCCCATGGCATCACAGCTCACAGCAACCTCAAACTCTTGGGCTTAGGTGATTCTCTTGCCTCAGTCTCCCAAGTAGCTGGGACTACAGGTGCCTGTCACAACACCTGGCTATGGCTATGTTTTTTTTTTTTTCCCGATGTCATTGTCATTAGCTGGTCCAGGCCAGGTTCGAACCTGCCAGCCTCAGTGTATATAGCTGGAACCCTACCCACTGAGCTACAGTGGCTGCTGCTTGCTGTTTTTATGACTAGTCCAAAAACTGGTTCCCTAGGAAACCTGAAAAAGACTACAGCGTTCCCAAATGTAAGAGTTGGCAATGGTTTCCATGAGGGAGCCAAGCTACAAAACACCAGTGAAACAAACACAAACGAAGCAAACTCTTACTCTTTGGTGGCCCCATTTTCCACTAAAGTGGGTCTGACTGCACAGTACAAAAGAAGCCTTTGGGCACTGGTTAAAAATGCAGGCCCCAGCCTCAGAATGTCTGACTTGCGTGGGGCCCGGGATATCTGCATGGTAGGCAGCTCCCTGTAAATGATTCGCATGCAGGTGGCTATGGACCTGGCCTTCAGAATCTCCAACTTACAAGCTAGTCTCAGTCCCTCACCCTGGCCCAGGGCTTCCACCCATTCCTCGCTCTGCCCTGGAATCCTCTCCCATCTCCCCTGCCACATCCTTCCCTGTCAGTCCCAAGTGCTTGCAGCTCACTCCACACCCTCCTCCTTTTTCTCTAATGATTCTCTATATCCTGGCTGAGGAGTTACCACCTCCAGGAAGTCTTCCTTCGGATGATCCACTCCAGGTTTGGCAGGTGCTCCTCTTGTGTCTGCCTCCTGCACCCTAGTTCATCACCCCTGCCTGTCTGTGCCTGGCTCCCAGTCCACCATGGGATCTCAAACAGGCTGTTCAATATAATCACTGCAGAGGTGTCAACACACACAGACACACATAGCTGTCCAGGCCTTGACCCAAACACACTGATTCTGAATTTCCTAAATCTCCCTGAGGTTACCCTTGAGCATCTATTTTTTTAAGCCCCAGAAATGATACTGCTAAAAGGCCCAAGTACAATGCCTAGTTTCTCACTGAAAGCTTGTCCCATATCTAGCTTCTCACCTGAGAACTAGGCCTTGTTCACTAGGGCACTCCCAGAACCACCATGCTGAAATTGAGCAAACTAAAATAATTGGAAGACTCAAAGTTCAATTT